AGAGGCAGCTGGAGCTCTGGCCCTTTAAATAGCCCACGGAGCTCCCTGCTACCCCAGGGCTCTGGGGGCTATTTAAAAAGTCCAGGGCTCCCGTTGCTTCTATGCCCCGGCCCTTTAAATAGCCCACGGAGCTCCCTGCTACCCCGGGGCTCCAGCGGCTATTTAAAGGGCCGGGGCATAGAAGCAACGGGAGCCCTGGACTTTTTAAATAGCCCCCACAGTCCCACAGCCCTACCCCAGGGCTCCAGCAGTGGGGTTCAGGTGGAAATTTAAAGGGCCTGGGGCTCCAGCCCCTGCTGGGAGCCCCAGGATCTTTAAATTGCCCCCTGGGGAAGCTGGGCCAAGCCGGTACGGCGCACTGGCTCTTGCCGGTATACTGTACCGGGGCTTGGGCGTGGGGCCCTCTTAGGCGCGGGGCCCGATTCAGGGGAATCGGTTGAATTGGCCTAAAGCCGGCCCTGTCCACTAACTTAGGTGTCGACTCTTAAGCCTCCCCACCTTGTGCTGCAGCCGCAGTATTTCGCCTTCTGGTGTGGGTTCTCCTGCTGGGGAGAACGGGCCCTCTTGGGCTCCATTTGAGGAGGAAACCTGGGCCGGAAAGAATTGCGGTCAGCAGGTCAAGCTCGTGTGTCCAAAGGGCTGAGCTGGTGGCCCCAGCAGCTCAGGCCGGTGGCAGCTGAGGAGGGTGGCAGGCCTGAGGCCCAAGGCCTCAGGCCCATTCATCCACCTGTTCATCCCAGGACCCCAGAGAGGGGAAGAGAGGAGGTGGCCAGACACTCGTCCTGGCAGGCTCACCCTGCTCTCCTTCTCCCCTCAGAGTGGCCATGCCCACCTCTGGCACATTGATCCTCCCCCTGGGATTACTTTCCCCACATCCCGAGCAGGGAAGCCCCCTGCGCCAGGCGCTGCAGGGCCCTTTCCCAACTTGTTGGAGGGCTCCGCCCTGGAGCGCAGGTCTTGGGGAAAAAGGCAAAGTCTTGTCTCAAAGGCTGATTTTCTGGAGAGGGCAGCCAGGGAGCTGCTCTGCTTGGCACCTAGTCTCTGCTTTCATCCTCTCTATTAGAGTGAAGATGAAGATTAAACCACCTTTAGCCCATCGGCTCCACGGAAGGTGTCTGTTCACCCTGAGTTGGCTGTAAGACTCCTGGGCTAGGATGTGGGTGGTGTAGCACCTAGAGAATGTCCCCACCTGAGACTGTCCCTGGAGCGGGCGGCAGCTGGTCTGTGCCAGACTTTTGGAGGCAGCCATCAGAGCCCCTCAGGAGGGCTTGCCCCCGGCCTCAGGAGGGAAGTGAAAAAACCAGCAGTGTAGACGACTGAACCCTGCTAGTGTCACTTTGGCTGCAGTGTGGCTGAAGACAGGTTCTAGGTAATGCATAGTCATGGGTTTTAAGGGTCATTAGCAAGGCAGCATTGGTGGTGTGGTGGTTAGCATGGCTGACTTCTAAGTAGTTGGTCTGGTTTTAATTCCCAGCCAACACAGTGTTTTCTTCATAACTTCCCCTGTTTTTACCACAGCAATTGCAGTGTTGCAAAGTAGAGAGCGGAGATGAGTACTCCACTTATCAAAGGGCTCTGTGGCACAATGGAAAGCGTGTTGGACTTCTAAGACGCAGTACATAGTATGGTTTGGGGCAGTCATTCAAAAGTTGTTGGTTCAAATTCCCCCAGAGTCATTTTAGCTGGCTGCCAGTTTGGCTTTTACGGAATAGGCAGCCACTTGCGTGCAGCCAACTGGGGCCAAGACGGGGACAGAAAGGCGGACCAGGCTACCAGGAGGTAGAAGTCTCGGCAGTGCGGGGAGGCGTTCTTTCACCACTAGCACTGGTGTCTTCAGTTGAGCTCAGGGTGGACAAAACCTTTGGGGCTAAAGATGGTTTAATCTTCATCTTCACTCTGAATAGAGGGGGTGAAAGCAAGGCCTAGGTGCCAAGCAGAGACACTCCCTGGCTGCCATCTCCAGAAAATCAGCCTTTGAGACAAGCCTTGGCCTTTTCCCCCAAGACCTGTGCTTTAGGGGGGTCCTCCAGCAGGTTGGGAAAGGACCTCACAGCGCCTGGCGCAGGGAGCTTCCCTTTCCGGGAGGTGGGAATCCCAGTGGGAGGGTCCAGGTGCCAGAGGTGGGCTTGGCCACTCTGAGGGAAGGAGGGTCCAGGCCAGCCGGTGTCAGAGGGAGGCCCTGTCTTGTGTCCAAGGTTCTGTAGGGAGGACAGACTCCCCAATCCCTGCTAAGGAAACTGCCCACAAACAAACACTAAAAGTCAATTCCAGCCACGCTATTTTTCTTTGCTCAGAAACAAATCCAGACCCGGCTGCAGACTCTGAAGAAAGAGAGAGAAAAGCTCCTGGGGTTGAAAGTGTCAACAGAAGGGAGAAGCCGGGAGTATCTGGTACGTGTCCACTGTTATCACCCAGCAGACACATGGGGTGGGAGTCTGTCTCCCTGGATGAGTGTGGGTATGGGCGGGTGTGTGTGTGTGTCTCTCTCACCACATCTGGTGGGATCGCGGGGAACCAATACACAAGTCAGTTCCTGCCTGGAGATGGTCTCACATGGCTTAAACTGACCTTTGCCCTCCCTGAATTCTGGGCCCTCCGTGCAAGTTAGAGCAGCCACGTGGCTGCACAAGCTGACTCTGGCTCCTCCAGGGGCTTGAGTAGCAGAGACCAGCTGGGATGCAGTGGGCTTTTTCCACACTGCTGTTGTACCTCTTATTCCATGGGCTGGAAGCAGAACTATTGAAGAAGTTGAATGCCATTCTCCACTGGTCGAGGCAACCCACAGCACAGGGTTATTCTCAGCACGGTTTAAAAAGGCCTGAGAATCGGGCTTCCCGTGTCTGTGCATGTCGCCCTCTGGGGATATCCCTGTCTCTCCATGGGCTGGATTGTGCCAGTGATTTCTGCCCTTTAGTGGGGCTGGAGCAAATCCGCAGGCTCTCAGAACAGCCCTGAGGGAGCTCAGCAGCTGCTATAGCCATGGGAGGGATGCAATTGCTTTTCTGGCCAGTGCAGGCTGTGGGGCCATGGCCCGTCCTCCTCCCTTCCCAG